TCGATGTTGGGTGACCTTGGGAATCGGCGGCGAGGACGGCGGCGCTTTCAGCGGAGCTTGCCACTTGGGCGACTCAGGCGGTGAGACTGTCTTTGGGGTTTTTGGCGTATGTATTGAAGATGCTTCCGCGGCAGCTATCGGCAACGGCGGAACGGTAGAAGTGGTGACCTGGACCTCAGGTAGACGAGGCAGGCTTTCGCGACCTTCTTCTGGCGCCTCTCGTAGTTCGGACAACGACTGTTTCTGATCTGCGGTCTTTGGCGGAGTCACAGGGCCGGTCACAAACGAGTCTTGATGTTGACGGGTAACGGGCCTGCGGCATTATGAATAATCGGGGAAATTGCACTCGAGTCGTTAGCTTCGATCTTTGTATTTGAATGGGAATTAGATTCGCTTGGTGGTACAGGAACCTTGTTCTGTTCAGGCAGGCGTCTTCAGCTAGCTGCGGTCGACGTTCATGCGCGCCCACACCAGCTGCGCAAGCGACGAAATAGGCAGCTGTCCACACAGCTGCAACAGCTGGGAGAAAAAGGTGGGCTGCGAGTGCGAAAAAATACGAAGGTGCAGGATTTTCAAACAGTACGGGAAATTCAAATATAAATCAAAATGATAGGGTGCAACTATGTTGGTGGCCGAGATTACCTTAGGTACATCATGCCGTTGCTACCAACGCTAGCGACAGCGAACTGTTGGCCGTAGCCAGCGCCGCTCCTGGTCGACGGAGCAGTGCTGTACGTCGATCCCGACGAGGACGGGGGCGGTGGAGGTACAAAATCCGGTCCGGAGGCGCTGTTGAGCGAATGGGTCATCATCCGGAGCCGTTCCAGGCTGGTCATGTTGTGTACGACGTTGTTCAGCACGACGGGAGGTTCCGTGATGGTCTTCTTCCGCCGGCGAGGAGGCGTGAGAGGGAAGGGACGGTTGCCGGCATGGGGGACGGCCTGCGAGGAGGTCGATGCCTGCGAATGTAACGACGGAGCATAGGATAGTGGGACGTTGTTGGCGTTCGAGTGGGAATGTAACGAGGCGTTCGTGGAGGTCATGACGGTCGATGCGGTCGAGTTTCCTCGTCGCCGTCGAGGAGCTGGATAGTAGAACTTCTCGGTGGCAGACGACCCTTGCCGCGGCCTTGTCGAAGGCAAAGGAAGCGCGTTCGCGGCGGGAACCTGACGCTGTTGGTTCGAGTCTGTCGTTGCCATGTTTACGATGTATCTTTCCAAGGAATCTGTTTAATCAATGATGATGTATGATCTCGTAATTTTATTCCGGCGCCGAAAGGAAAACGAAGACATGAAGGGGAAGGCTTGACGGGTGACTCTGTGAGATGGTTATCCGAAGACCAGTCAGTCGTTTTCCAAGGGGGCTGCAGCAGCTGAAGCTGTGGCCCAGTCTGCTCGTGCAGCCAGCCGGAACTAGCGTTCATGCAACTTATAATCCGGACCGTCTCTGTGATTCATTCGAGACAATGACTTTTGACGTCTATCAATTGTTCGCTTGCAGAGCTTGGTACCGATGCCCCCCCGAATCTACTAGCTCCCGAGTATCTTCCTCCCAGGTTTGAAGGGAGTCTGAGATGGTGCTAGGAAGGGAAGGGTAGGTATCGCGCGCCGCCGCGAAACAATCTCGTCTAGGAAGGAGAATGGTGGTTGTTGTGTTCGGCAAACAAGCCTATCTGCAGCGAACCGAAAGGACCTGTGACGAAACGTTCGACTTGGGCAATCCGAAGAGAGGACCTCCGTGGGCACGTGGTGGCAGTGGTGATTGCGAGAGTGGTCGTGGCAGCAGCAGAAGCAGCAGCAGCAGCGGGGGATCCGACAAAGAAGCCGTTGAGATCCTTCTCTCTGTCCTCCTGCTCTCCATCGGCGAGGGATTCCCCAGTGCGCTCATGCACGCATCATCGCGGCGGTGATGGCGCTGTGGGTCATGCGTCGGGGCAGGTCCTTCGGTAGCTGCGAATATTTTATAATGATGATATAATAATAATAAGGATCGATATTAAGAAATAGGCATCTGCGTAGTGCGTTTCGTAAATAGTGAGATCGATTTCAGACGATGCATGCAATTAAACCCGAAAGGCGGAGAGCTGTCACTTTTCGTCGGGCTGTTGTATCTTCCGTTACTGCGCGGGCACTTTTTCTTCTCCTCGATGGTGACGCTGCTAGACTGCGCAGGAGGGGTTGAGACAGGGCGAAAAGGAGGCCGTGGAGTATCAGCTGAAGGCGGAGAGGGATGATTGGGGAGCAAACTAGTCCGCGAGTAACAATTGGCCCACCGTCGACGCGATGCAACCATGCATCGTGAGATCCGCTCCAGCAAGAATGCGAAAGGAGAGACAAATTTTTGGAGGAACCGGAGTTCTGGGTAACATTACCACTTTTATGTATGAACCACAACGGCAGCCAATCGTGGCGTGCGAAGGCGACGTGGAGCACTCGGGCGGCTTATTATTCTCTTTGGGCCCAGGCAAAAGGACGGCCTTGGAAGTAGCAGGGGCCGCGCAAGGGGTCAGTTCGCCGCCCACGAATCGGGCCCAATCTCGCGGAGTCTGGTCGAATTTGTCCAAGAACGTGGATGTACCTGCGCGGGTTGGCTCGACGAGGTGCCCAATGCGTGGGTATCTTGACCAAGGTATCTTGACTGAGCGTGGGTATCGATACGTATATCGACGGGGACTGGAGGTATCTTGATGGGATGTACCCGGTGCTCGAATTGAGCGACTTTGTCTCACAATAGATATCGATGCAGGGCATCGTCACCTGGTAGACAACACTAGTTCTCGAACGGAACTGTTAGACGAAAGACGGCGTTTTAGCCTCTGGAGTGCATAGATGTCGACGCCGTGCCTCACATGCGCGTCCGTGGCTCGGGATCCGTGCATTGGTTCGTACATCAACTACGAACCGATGTATGGCAGCGGAGGTGGCAGTAGACTGTCTGCCTCGCCTTCTCATTTCTAAGTGGAGTTGGATATTTGAGTCCGGCGGGAGGCCATCGAACTGTCGATGATAACGTTACGATGTCATGATGAAGGACGTTGCAATTGGCGTCTCAATCTTGCCGCACCAACGGCGAACGCGAAATTGTTTTCCATCTCGTCGATCGCGGAGATTCCCGGCGAAACGAAACTTGTGCTGCCAGAGGCTTGAAGTCGAGGCGGACCTGTCACATCCGTGGGATATGTTTGGTCTGTACTTCGTACATGTCGGCTGAATTGTGATGTTTCCTGCCGGTGCAGGGAGCCGGGTTGTAGCCGTCAGCAACTGATGCAAGGATAACATGTCATGAGAAGGTCCAGGCACATGCAAGTGACCTACTTACTGCTCCTTGGTTGGCTTCTGATGGTATCGCAGCTTTGACCGTGACTCGGGTATTGATATTGCATCTCGTGGGTGATGCTGGTTGTCGCTGATTCGCAGAGCATTGGGTAACGCATGGCGGGTCCAACACGAGGAAACAAAAAAGGCACCAGCATCAATCACGCATCACTAATACGAAACATCGATTTCCAGCCCGGTGATATAACGGCCGACAAGGGCCCTCTGCACTCGATGGCTGGATACTGCAAGCAACAGGCTGCGGCTGCTTCCTTAGGAAGGATCATGTGATTCAAGAGCCGGCTGTCGGTAAAGATTGCCATTTTCTGAAGTCGAACTTGTTTCTCTAACTTTGTGGCTCGGGCCGTTATTCAGTAACTGGCGTTTCGCCCGAGCATCAATGCACTTGTCTGATCTCAGACCGATCGAGTAGCGACCGCGTCGCTAGCGATATAAATCACGTAATAGGTGTATGGACAGATCCGAGCGATTTCGACAATGTCAGGCCACTACAAATATGTTTCGTGGGGGAGACGCCTCTCGATATTTGTCTATTATAATTATGTATACTAAATTTCAATATTTTATACTAGCGTCAAAGTTTTAGTTGCATTCGGATTGTCAATGATAGAAGAGCAAGTTACTCGAAATTCTACAGGCTCGGCGAGGGCTACCTATTCCTATCTTATCAACTATATATAGGAATGCCATGTAGGAGCTTGGACGTTCTGTGTCTCCACAGGAGCGACTCGGAGTTCAGAAACGCACATGATTACCTAGGTATCGATATCACCGAGGGATTTTCCCCAGTTGATCAATGGAAGCAGCTGACTTCTCAGTGCAGGCACCTAGGTGCCTATCTTGCCAGGAAGTTAAGTACGTTTTTATAATATTTGTTAGTACTCCTCAACTACATAGACGCATGCAATACGAAGTCTCGAGAAACAAACTGTAGGAATCCGATACTCAATTCCCTGGATACTTTTCCGTGAGTGTATTTGGAATGCTTACATATGGATCTTTCTTGGGAACCAGTAACCTCGAGACGGAGTACTTCATTGTTCCTTCTTCATACGCGGTTTAAGTTCCAATTACTGTGATACTCGAGTCGAAAATTGTGATATCGGTGCGCCTGCTTGAAATTCGTGCGGCATATCATGATTATACTTACCGATAAATAGTACGTAAGTAAGTAGGTATATATAGTGAGCTTGTTCAGAGAATGCTTCTTGCTATGTCATTATCTACCGGTAGCAAGCATTTCTTTCCTTCTTAATACTACCCCGTAATGGCCTCCATGTGTTCATCATGGCAGGAAATTATGTATGTAGGGGTATGCTGTATTCCAGCGTAGCTAAAGGTTTATCTTATAAAGCAGCGCAGAGCAGCACCTTCGAAGCCTAAAGAGGATTGCGGCCGAAAATGGACTACAGCCGATAGCCGTAAAATCTACCGGCCTCGAAATTAGACAAGACAAGACGAAGCCCGACCTAATAACTTATATATTCTGGTACGTATTCTCGAAGCCAGCCCGCCCGTCAAGCCACAACAGTAGACAATAACCATGTGCCTAAAAGTGAATATGTGTTGTACGCTGGATGGTTTGCGGCCCGTTTTGTTGTCGCGATTTGGCGTCATTGAACGTCAAATTCAGATAACGAAAATCAGCTTGCTCAGACAATCGTCGCCCATTTGGCGCAATGGTTAGCGCACCTGACTTCTATGAGCTTCTCCCAGAGATGACCTGGTCATCAGGAGGCTGTCGGTTCGAGTCCGACAATGGGTGTCTGTTTTTTTGGGTTTTTTTTTTCTTGCCGCTATTATCTTTGTTTTCGGAGGCGAATATGATTTTTTGGCAGGTGGGTTGAAGGAAAACGGCAACACACCAGCAACAAACCATTTGCAGATGCAGATAACAGCAATTGTGGTATCAATGATGGTCTGGAGTGTTGCTAGATCTTGAGGCTGGTCCTATGCAACGTCTGAGGTCTTTTGTCGAGGAGATCGGATTAGGTTCTATCATTATAGTTTTATCGATGGGGATATTCCAGCAAGAGCAGACACCTTACCCAATGACGCTAAATTTAAATTCATCGATCATGAAATAAGGAGGCTGCAATATTCTCAAGGCCAATAAGTTTAACTTGGATAGGACTCAGGCCTACTTATCTAAATTTCGAATGGACCTGCATTTCAACGTGTCCTCTGTGGACGAACGAATTCTAGGGAAACCCCCACCGTGGCCATGTGGTCTTTTTTGAGGTCCGAAATGGCATGAACTCGAATGGCGCGGTCAATTCTGGTGGCGTCGTGAACTTGCGAGTCCGATTTGTTGCATTTTGCTGACAACGCGGTTTCCGCAACGAAATCCAGCTGGATGGATTGTGCTACAGTCTTCAGGAAGGTTCCTTCCGATTACCAAGGTGATACCAAGGTAATCCGTACGATTTAGGATAGACTCTCGATTAGCGTGGGGTGGATATGGCGAGCTAGTATGACCGTTTAGGAGGGGAGATTTGCATATAATACTAGCGAATATGGATCGAGTCAGCATCAGATCACGCTGATAATCCGCATCGATACTTCGTCGAACGGCAATATACGCCAGATTAGATAAGTGAATGGACAGCTGCCCGGAGATACCGTCGACATGCGAACGGCAGCCCCAAAGAGCTAGAGCTGAGTCTCGTGGAGATGCCATGGACTGGACTGCACTGCCTTATCTCTACGTCACCGGGCGGCATGGCGTATCAGGCAACCGCTTGTGAGCTGAGCCAGAGATCGAGTTTGCTGGAGAGCCTGCTGGAGAGCCAACCTGCCAACGTGCATGCACGGCGTCGGGGGCTGCGAGTCGACCTCGGCACCATCTGAGCCCACGGATTAATGTTCGTGGACTGGCGGAGAGATTGAGGCTTCTGGGCAGCTCGAGACGGGCGAGCATTCTGCTGCCGAACGCGAGCAGCAACATTGCGTCTCCGGCATCACGTGATCTGACATATGCTCGATGACAGATAGACGCCTCCTCGACGTTGCCACCCGCTGCTTTAATTTAATAATATCTCCATCGCCATCGCCATCTTCACCGTCATCTTCTTCACTTTCGTCGACATCCACTCCAGCTGCGAGGCCCTTTCGCAACGCAAACGCACCCCGGACTTTGTTACAACGTTAAGCCGCTGTCAGCGCCTGTCACCTCGCTTGCTTGGCAACACAGTAGCCTTAAATCAGCTCCAGCTGCACGTCAGCTTCCCCCTTCTCCACCATGTTCAGCAACATGTTCAATCGAAACTCTCAAGGCTTTGGCAAGCCCGGCCAGTCGCACTTCGGCTCCGGCCAGCAGACGTATGGCGGCGGCGGAGGCGGCGGCCATGGCCACGGCAGCTTTTCCGCGCCGTCCGGCCGCAACCACAGCGTGAAGGAATTTGGCATCACCAAGGTCCCTGACGAGACGTGGGTGCTGCAAAATGTCATGGCTGTCAACCCCGACGACTTTTCCAAGGAGAACTATGTCATCATCGACGAGCGATGTGTCGTGACGGTCAGGTAAGTTGTTCGTTGATAGCAGTGTTGCTTATCGATAACCTGTGAGGATCAGACTAACAGGTGCAGACCGTCGCCCCAGATCCCAAAGGGCATGATCGGGCTGGGGAATGCCCAGCGTGAATGGGGCCAGTGGGGCTTACAGGACCGCGTCATGATCCGAAAGTACGACCCGTTCATGGCGGGCAAGCAGGCGTATCTCGGGTCCCTCGATGTCGAAATCGGCTTTGCGACAAAGAAGACCTCAGACGAGTCCTACGACCAGGACGAGCTCTCCAAGCGGCTGATCGGGGTATGTTCCTCTCATATGGCTGTTGAATGCACCGTGCTAAGATATATAATCATTATAGAACTTCCAGAACCAGATTTTTGCGCCGGGCCAGCTGGCTATTCTCGACGTGCGCAATGTACGGCTCCAGATCCACGTCAAGACGGTGCAGATCGTCGACCTCAGCAAGGAGAAGAGCGGCGATGCACCGACGGTGTCCGACCCGAACGCGCGGGGTATTCTCACGCCGCAGACCTTCATCACGTTCTACAAGCAGGCCTCCTCCCCCATCAAGCTAAAGGGCTCGATGAGGCGGCCGGCCGCCAACTCGATCATCCAGCCGAACTTCAAGTTTGAGGATATGGGCATCGGTGGTCTGGACACCGAGTTCTCCGCCATCTTCCGCCGCGCGTTCGCCTCGCGCATCTTCCCACCGGGTCTTGTCGAAAAGTTGGGCATCCAGCACGTCAAGGGTATCCTACTCTACGGGCCTCCCGGTACCGGTAAAACCCTGATCGCGCGACAGATCGGAAAGATGCTGAATGCGCGAGAGCCCAAGATCGTCAACGGCCCGGAAATTCTGAACAAGTACGTCGGACAGTCGGAGGAGAACATCCGCAAGCTGTTCGCCGACGCGGAGAAGGAATACAAGGAGAAGGCCGAGGAGTCCGGCCTGCACATCATCATCTTTGACGAGCTGGACGCGATCTGTAAGCAGCGTGGCAGCAAGAACGATGGCACGGGCGTCGGCGACTCGGTTGTCAACCAGCTGCTGTCTAAGCTGGACGGCGTGGACCAGCTGAACAACATTCTGCTGATCGGCATGACGAACCGTATGGACATGATTGACGAGGCCCTACTGCGCCCCGGTCGACTGGAGGTGCACATGGAAATCTCGCTGCCCGACGAGTTCGGCCGGCGGCAGATCCTCAAGATCCACACGGCGAAGATGCGGACGAACAACGTCATGGACCGCGACGTCAACATTGAGGAGCTGGCCGCGCTGACGAAGAACTACTCCGGCGCGGAAATTTCCGGCGTCGTCAAGTCCGCCAGCTCCTTCGCGTTCAACCGGCACGTCAAAGTCGGCACCGTCGCGGGAATCTCGGACGACATTGAGCGCATGAAGGTCAACCGCCAGGACTTCCTCAACGCGATCGAAGAAGTGCGCCCGGCGTTCGGCGTCAGCGAGGACGAGCTCGCCAGCTGCCTCCAGGGCGGCATCATCCACTACAGCACCTACGTCGACCAGCTCCTGCGCGAAGGCCAACTCTTCGTCGAACAAGTCCGCAAATCCGAGCGCACCCCGCTCGTCTCCATCCTCCTCCACGGGCCACCCGGCGCCGGCAAGACGGCTCTCGCCGCGAAAATCGCCATCGACAGCGGCTACCCGTTCATCAAGCTGCTCAGCCCCGAAGCGATGGTGGGCATGAACGAGATGAGCAAAGTCAGCTTCATCAGCAAGGTCTTCATGGACGCGTACAAGTCCGCGCTCAGCGTCATCGTGCTCGACAACGTCGAGCGACTAATCGACTACGTCCCCATCGGCCCGCGCTTCTCCAACATCATCCTGCAGACGATCCAGGTCCTGCTGCGCAAACAGCCGCCCAAGGGCCGCCGGCTGCTGATCCTCGCGACGACGACCTCCCGCAGCGTGCTCTCGCAGCTGGACGTGCTCAACACGTTCGACGGGGAGCTCGGCGTGCCGAACGTCGGCTCGCACGAGGAGCTAGCGCACATCCTCGCCGAGCTGCGCGCCTTCGCCGACCGCGACCAGCAGGCGGCGGTCCGCCAGCTGCAGGACATCACCAGCTCGCGTCGCCTCGGCGTCGGCATCAAAAAGATCATTCTGGCCGTGGAAACCGCCTTACAAGACGACGACAAGGCCGGGCGGTTCGCGAGCGTGATGAGCCGCGCGGTCGGGGAGGCGCGCGTGCTGGAGCCGGATGAGCCGGAGGAGACGGTGCACGTGCAGACGGCGCGGCAGATCTCCGTCGGCGCGGCGGGCAAGCAGCCGGCGCAGCTGGCGCCGTATCCGAGCAGCGCGGGTGGTGGCAGCCGCAGTAATACGCCTGGCGGGCCGAGGGGGGAGCCGTACGAGCAGGGGTACGCCGCGAGGTATTAATGTAGTGTCGATGTTGGCGGATACCTTAGATTGTTGTATCTTAATTGGCGTTTTGGCAGTTTGTAGATTGAATCGAGCGTAGTATCATGACTATATCCGGTGGTGAACTTATGTGTGCGGTTGTTAATTAATTCAGAGACTGATGCATGTAGATGAATATGTATACGTACTATCTATATAAGTACATAAGTACTTATGTGTGTATTTGGCAAGTATTGATCGACCTATAATACACATCGTTCTGCTACTCTATACCGCATTTGTTATTATAATCCGCGACGTTCAATTATACTAGTACTGTGCTAGACTAACTGTTAATGTTGCGGATTGAAATCGACGCTAGTAATGTATGATGTCGACTGCAACCGGAATTCCAGAATGGGACCGGATACAATTGATTATATTTACCGTGGGCACAGTGATATCATCGTGATACCGTATTACCAACAGATGGCTTTGACTGCGCTAATGCATTGGTCTATATTGATATCATCTTGGGTTATATATAAACCAGCCCGTATGAGATATACAACTATATCAAATACCATATCACATTTGAGTGCTGGATCGCATTTATACCGGAATTGCAGTACAGATCAAGGTATCATTATTCATTCGCGTGATGTGGTAATCGCATGCACAAAATATGTATACAACGTACGTGTATAGAATGCATGGGTAGATAGAAATAGAAAGAAGGAAAGGAGGAAAGAAGGAATGCATGCCTGCGTGCACGCCATATACGTTCAGTAAACCAAAGCCAGTATAGTAAACGTGCGTGATCATATCAAGACAAAGGAAAGAGTAAAAAGAATGCTAAGGACTGGTACGGTTCGCTCGCCAATGACAGCTG